ACTATTAGAGCTATAATTTAGAAATAATTTTACAAGATACAGAGTGTCCCAAATAAGTAAAAAATGCTATAGTTGTATTTTTTTAAATGGAACACCCTGTATATTATTACGTTTTTAAATTCTACGATTGAAATAAAGGTAAATTTTATTAAGGTTTATCACACTTAAACCTTACCAATTTTGAAATATTTTCAATTTTGTGAAATTGCAGTAAAAATTTTAAGGCTTCATTTCTCCAAGGGTATCAAAGTTTTTAATACTAAATATTTACTGAAGTTTATTTATTGATCAGTTATTGTGTTGCAATAATAAAAATTATACTACCTTATACAGAGTGTCTAAAATTTTATTTTAAATAATTACTAGCTTTAAACGGCAATAACTTGTTTAATTTAAATAGAACGCCCTGTATATTTTAGGAGAATCAGATGCATAATTTAATTGTCTATCAAATTGTATTATACCACTTTTTACCTATCCCTTCAAATTTTCGTAGAAAATATATTTTCTTATAATTTCGATCTTATTTATCAATATACCCATGGAATATTGACATTTTAGATTGTTTTTAAAGCAACAAATGTACAAAATGTACAGGCTAGTAATATTATAGTTTTTAACAAAATGATAATATTACTAACCCATTTGTATGCAAAAAGAAAACTATTTAAATCTTCATAAAAGAGTATACCATTAATTAAATATACCACCATTATTTCCGTCCAAATACTAATTAATTACATACTTAATTATGTTCGTGATTAAATTATTCAAAATAAATGTGGATTTGAATCAGAAATCAATATAATAATAAGTTATAAAAATGAATGTCATTTGTCAAAAAATGAAATATCATTTTTAAGGTGTTACTTTTTACCACACTGTCTAATACACATAAAAATTCAGTTTTTTAGTTTTTGGAGCAATTATTATTAATCAACGCAAACAGTCAATTAATGTAGTTTGAATACTGGAATCATATTAATTGGTCCTTTTTAACAAATATTTAAACAGTTTTATTATTTTTTAATGAAATAAACAAACTATATTGACAATATTAGTATCTGTACTCTTTAAAAATTTGGTACATCTTTAAAAATAATCTAAAATGTCAGTCTTCCATGGATATATTGATGAATGAATTTAAAATTACAAGAAAATGCATTTTCTACGGAAACTTAAAGCTATAGGTAAAAATGGTATAATACAATTTGATAGACAATTAAATTGTGCATCTGATTCTCATAAAATATACAGGGTGTTTCATTTAAATTAAACAAGTTATTGCCGTTTAAAGCTAGTAATTATTTAAAATAAAATTTTAGACACTCTGTATAAGGTAGTATAATTTTTATTATTGCAACACAATAACTGATCAATAAATAAACTTCAGTAAATATTTAGTATTAAAAACTTTGATACCCTTGGAGAAATGAAGCCTTAAAATTTTGACTACAATTTCACAAAATTGAAAATATTTCAAAAACGGTAAGGTTTAAGTGTAATAAACCTTTATCAAATTTACCTTTATTTTAATCGTAGAAACTAAAAATGTAATAATATACAGGATGTTCCATTTAAAAAAATACAACTTTGATATTTTTTATTTATTTGGGACACTCTGTACCTTGTAAAAATATTTTTAAATTGTAGCTCTAATAGTCCTTCAACGAACCCAAAACTTACAATTTGTAAAAATCTAATCGTTTAGCTACAATACTCCGTGTCGTATGTGGTGAACAACCCTGTATATCTTTAATGCAATAATCTCAAAATAAATTAGTTTTAGGAGAATATAGGCATACTCAGGCATACTTATCCTAGACTAATAAGAAATTTGATTTTCCACATACCGGGCGTCCCAATATTCCATGGACTTTAAAATAATAAACCCATTTTTTCGGATTTTTTAAGAACCGTTATTCTTATTTGAATGAGATTTTGGGTGTCTTATATTTTGCTAAGTGCTTTAACATTTGACATTCACAAAAATCAAGAAAAAATACGTGAAGAGTGAAAACTACCCCCACCCTTACATACATTTTGATGTACATATTTTCGTAGTATACAGGGTCCGGCAATAGTGCGTCGGTCATTTGTAGCTCCTAGAATAAAAACTTGAGAATTTTGTTTAAGTGCAGACCTAAAGTATGTACCAGGATGTATTTCAGGAAAATATTTTAACTTCTATAGGGTGGCTCAAAAAAGTGTGAGTGGACCTGGTTGATTTTTTTTAAATTGAACACCCTGTATATTATTGCATTTTTGGCTTCCTTTCAGATCACTTTACATAACCCTAAGATATGAATAAATATATTTCGATAGTTTCAGAGATATTAATAAATAAATAAAAAATATATATTTTTCAGTCTTTTTTAAAAAAATTATTAAAAATAGAAGAACTGTTCTGAAATCAAAACTATGTTAGGTATTTACTTTAGATGGTCTATTCTTACTTTGCTATAAATATGGTAATCGTAAATCATACAGGATGTTCAATATTCTACGCCAAACTTTCTAAAATATAAAATAATTTTTCTTTGTTTTTTTTTTAAATGGAACACCCTGTATATTATTTTTTTATTAGATGGAGAATTAAAAAATGAACATTTTTTGTATTTAAAGTATTTCAAAATTTTTAATAGTTTTCCGGATACACGCAGTATTATTTCATATGGCGCTTTCAATGGTAAAATTCGAGAGAAAAATCATTGGGTGGCTTTGATAAAAATTACTGTGGAAAATGCCATATGAAATATAAAACCGCAAATATCTGCGAAACCGTTAAAAATTTTGAAATACTCTAAATACAAAAAATGTTCATTTTTTATTTCTCCGTCTACTGAAAAAATAATATACAGGGCGTTCCATTTAAAAAAACGAAGAAAAATTATTTTATATTTTAGAAAGTTTGACGTAGAATTTTGAACATCCTGTATGATTTACGATTTTCATATTTATAGCAAAGTAAGTACAGACCATCTAAAGTAAATACCTAATATAGTTCTGATTTCAGAACAGTTCCTGTATTTTTATAATTTTTTTAAGAAGGGCTGAAAAATAGATATTTTTGATTTATTTTTGAATATCTCTGAAACTATCGAAATATATTTATTCATATCTTAGGGTTATGTAAAGTGATCTGAAAAGAAGCCAAAAATGCAATAATATACAGGGTGTTCCATTTAAAAAAAATTATCCAAGTCCACTCACACTTTTTTGAGCCACCCTATAGAAGTTAAAATATTTTCCTGAAATACATCCTGGTACATACTTTAGGTCTGCACTTAAACAAAATTCTCAAGTTTTTTATTCTATGAGCTACAGATGCCCGACGCACTATTGCCGGACCCTGTATAAACCAAACTCAACCGACAACCGATTTTTTTTTTTTTTGTAAAATAGTCCTTCCAGTAGGTATTTACTACATTTTTGTCTCTTGCAAAAAAACGCTACCGCGCGAACTTTTTGAGGAAAAAACATATTTTTCCGAAGCTGACCTAGTTGGCGAAAATATGGAATTTTATGTGAATGTCACAAATTATATTTGACAATAAGCTTCATAAAAAGCTTAAAAAATTAATAAATTTGAATTAACGTTCGGGATAATTTTTCATTGATGTCCTCTAACACACAAACGCGCTTTTATAAAAAGGTAAATTATAAGCAGTTGACTTATTTTAATTCAAAAATTACGTAGTTGTTCTATGTTCACAGAATATTGGAACTCCCTGTATATTTTATTGGCCTGCTTTGGAAAAATAAATTCTCCAAAAAATTTTTACCAGAAAAATATGCGATGTGGCATTTCTTTCTCTTTGCAAAGAGACAAAAAATATAGTAAATACTAGAAGGGTCATTTTACGAAAAGAAAATCTGTAGTCGGTGTAGTTAGATATAGTTAGCAAAGTTAGATATATTTATATCTAACTTAGATAGGAAATATAGAAAATATTTATACTAAAGTTTATGTAGGGGTGGGGGTAGTTTTCACCCTTCCCGTAATTTTTCTTGATTTTTATGAATGTCACATGTTAAAGCACTTAGCAAAACATTGACACCCAAAATTTCATTTAAATCAAAATACTTAATGGTTCTTAAAATATCTGAAAAAATGTGTGTATTTTTTTTTAAATTTGATATCCTCTAGCGGACAAAGGAAGCACTTTTGTACAGAGGTAAAACATGGAGGTAAATTATGTCCAATGACCTTATTTTGATTCCTAGAATATGAGTAGTTCTATGTCCACGGAATATTGGGACACCCTGTATACCTACCTACCTAATATAGGAAGAAAATATTCTATAGATATAGATTATACTGTCTATCCCCGGATTTTCATTGAAAAACTTTTTGTTGTTTACTTTTTTAAAAAATGCATTCCTCATAAAAGCTTCTGCTTATTCTAAAATGGTTAATCCCGTTTATACTTTTCCAAATTTCTATACCGTTTCAGAGAAAAATATGAAAATATAGTTGAAATTTCACTTGAAATATCAAAACACGTTTCTGTCAATATCATTTCGTCATTTCGTCTTCATTCTTTGATAGAAAGCATAGATGTGCATTTATCTGTGATAGAAAGTTATTTTTAATTTTGATAAACGTCATATTTTGATATATTAATTGTAATATTATTTAAATAAAAATACTATATCGAAATCTATAATCAATGTTTGAAAGACTAATTTATTTCGTATGCCATCGAATACCTACAGTAAATTCAGAAAACTAGTGATATTATTTACCTAGAAAATTATGATTTGAATCAGACCAAAAGAACAAATATCAGAATTATCTTATATAAATTACTAAGATTCTACATCCTACAATAATAATACCTTCGTGCAACAAATTCAAAACTTCTTAAACTAAACATTTCAACTGACTGTACCCACTTGAATTCTTAATGACTGGTACATCTAATATAGTAGTGTAAATAATACCTCAGTATAAATAGTTATAAATACAGTATCTTCTACAATAAACTAATAGTTACCTTAACAAAACATCAAACAGATCGGTCTCTTCCCAATAACTTTTCAACAATGGCAGCAAGTCTGTTTGTAAAACTTTTGTCTCGCCCAGCTGCCTTCGAATATCGTGGCTCTCGTCGTCTCGCCTCAGGTATCGTATTAAATCTTTCACTGTTTCTAAAGTATTGGAATCGGCATAATACTTGTTAGATTTCACATCAAAATACCCTAGGGCGTTACAAGCCGCGGCTAAATCGGCACTTAACAACGACGACATTCTTAAATCAAGACAGCTACGGTCCTTGCTTTTTGACACTTAAATATGTAACAACAATATTTATTCCTAATTTGTTAATAAAAGTATTGGTCCCATAAAAACCGTACACACAACTCGGTATTTGGAATATTTTGAGGTTATCTTGTTATCTAGTCAAAACGTCAAAAATACGCGGGAAATAATTCGTAGCATAGTTGCCGAATCGTAGAGTTAATCTTATTTAACAGAATTATTTGATTTTATTTTATAATTTATAATCCAAGAATAATAAAGGCAATAAAAAATAGAGCTAGAAAAATTAACTTTTTAGTGTTAATAATACAGCTTAGTTCCTAATCTTTTTTTTTTTGTAAAAATTTGTTTTTGTAGGTACTTTTGTTATAATTTAATATAACCAAACCAAATAAATCAGAAATAAACTCAAATAATTATATGTGATTTATTTACCAAATAAAAAGTGTTTTACTTGAAAATTTATATTTTATTTAACAACTTAAATAATGAAATAGTACTGAAATAATAGCAGTGTGTGATTTTGAGCCATAAAATTTCTCTCAATTTATTATTATTATAAATGTTATAATTTTGAATTTATTAAAAAATATATATTTTGCCAAAAAGTAGAGAATATCTTATCTACTCTTTGATTTTACTATATTTACTATTTTCAATCTGGCAACATGGCTAGTTTTCTGTAGGTACAGATGCACCCGTAAAACACGGAATCAGCTGATCCGGTACAGAAACACCGGTTTCTTAAATTATAAATATTATAGAGAAAATAAAATATTATGGATGAGATTGTAATTACCAAATGTTAATATTTTTACATCCACCTTATGAAAGAACAAAATAGTTTTAGATTACAAAGTAAAAAATCTTAAAATGTAATTTTGTTGACAATATGGCGAAGGAAATTAAAAAGTACCACTTAAAATGAACATAATATATTTCCAGGTACCATAGACACATAAGCGTAACTAGCAATTCTTCCTGGGTTGTTCTAGGGCTGAAACCAGGGGTGGGAGGGCTAGGGCTGAACCATGGGGGGGCCTAGGAATTTTGTTTTTTAAAAGATAAAGCATAATATCATTAAAAATAAATACATATTTTGAATAAAACATTTACATAAATTTCTCTATCAATAAATTTGATTATCAACCCGTGTTCATTGGATTACTTAAGTACCTACAAATTTTGTAAAAAAATAAAAACTAACACACATTTTTTGAACAGAGCAAAATAATATTAACTAAACAAAAATGGAAAATGTCATTTTTATTACTACCTACACCACAAGCAAATACTAATTAATATTTAGCCAAGAATCATCGTTCAGTTAATAAATTCAAGGCTTCTCTGGGCAGTGCCCAGCAGAATCTGGGGGGGGGCACCCCTATAGTTACGCCAATGCATAGACCTATATAACAATAGTAGAAAAAAGTTCAAATAGGTCCAAAATAACCAAGGTTTTTTTTACTTTTAAAATTTAAAAAACCTTATTCTTTGTTTAAAATTTGAAAACCGCTGGATCTTTTTCGAGTTTTTTTCTTGTAAATTTATTATAACATATTATTTATTATATTATATTGCCATATTACAGATATTACGTTTTTTAACTAAAAATTAAAAAAAAAATCCATTTTTTTTCGAAATATTTCAAAGTTTCAAAAATATTAAAAATATACTACTCAAAACAATTTTCGCATATTTGAATAAAAGTATTTATTACATATTTCTAAATGAATCATGCATTTTTCTGCCTTTCTCTTGTGAGTTTTTTTAGGATAATTAGGGTACGCACTGAATGTAATTTTTAGTCGGCCGACTATTTAATTGCAAGAGTAAAAACAATACATTCTTATGGAGCCCATTGGCCCAATATTTGATTACATTGCATAGCCTTAGGCTATGCGCTGACAGGCAATTTTTAATTGGTCGAAGTCAGGGAATTCAAGTGTCTAATTTTTCAGATTAGTATTTTTTTAGAAAATATGCGATAATTGTTTTGAGTAGTTTATTTTGCACTTACTGAAGACTCACCCCTGAATATAAATAGTAATAATAAATGGATAAAAACGAATTTATTTTGCTCCCCTCAGCTACAACCCTGACTTCCATTTAAAAAGAAAAACCAAAAAGCAGTTGTAAAAACGTAGAAGCCTCACCCTGCACTATGTCGACATAGGTAACACGTACCAGTCATAGTGGACAATGGATAATCCCGATCCTGAAGGCTTAGCATCAAGATTTACGACGTCATACGTTTTCGGTGAGGTTATAGAGGCCTGGCAGGGACCCCGATTTCTTGTCAATGGCCAACGCAAATCTCCCCTGGGACCGGGAATGTGTGTTAGTGCATTGGATCTATTACTGGTGGCCAGTGGCGTGCTGTTTTCCTAAAAAAAAATCGAGCAGGTCATTCATCGGTGATCATAATAAAATAAAAATATCCCATCAAAAACAGAACGTAAAAATACCAAGTCTCGCAATACAATTCTTCCACTATAAAAAATTGTGAGATCCCATGTAAAACCAAGTCAGTTTATTTTATTTAGTCTTTCTTTAAGCACCTATTCAACAATTTTGTTAGAAATTGTTAGTATCAATATTAGTCATCTTTCCCATGTAGCATTTTCACGACTTGCGACCAAATGTTTACTAAACACAACGTTGGATTAGTTACAAAAAATAGTTAACTTGGGTATTAAAATAAATGTAAACGTTGTTGTAACGTTGTGCCGACGTTGAACTAGTACTCTACAACGAAGTAAAAGCTTCTGCGACGTCGAATAAACGTTGTCTTGTAACCTTTTTTGCTTAAGCGATCTTTAGGTGATTCGGACAACGTAGTTACAATGTTGGGCAATAAAGAGTTTTCCGACGTCACTTTCAGGACATATTCCAACGTTATGCAAACGTCGTCTGTTTTAAAAATTCCAACATTGTTTAGATTTCCTTATTCTTACGTTGGTAGGACGTCGAGCCACTACCTTTTTGCAACTGTATTGAACCATAACCTTAAATCTTAAATTTTCACTTCATTGTTCTGTTCAGTCAGACAGTTCAGTGCTGTTTTTGTTTTTATAAAAAAAAAACTTAATTGAAATGGGACATAAGAAAGGTACATATAAAACTAAATTTAAATATACATCGACATATTACCGACACTTTATCCACTCCCTCGTTTATTTAGAATATAGAGGGCGGCACAAGTTAGACTCTAGGATGACTAAATTAGGCAATCTTGCGACTAGTATACTACCTGTTAAGGCTGAACTGCGATTTTATTAGTCCAGTATGCGACTACTCGAACTACTCCATCTTAATCTCCAAAACAACAAAGTGAAAGCCGCCATGTTGTTGAATAAGAAAATGTTTCGTTCCTAAAATAGCAATACCTGCTTTTTGGATACATTAGCTTGAAATATTTGACCCGAAACAACACGCGGAAACTTTTTTTTCGACTGGGAATAAATTACTCTCATTTTACTAAAAAAAAATTTCAAGAGATTTTTTAAAACTTCTTTAATTTTAAGGCCCATTAGTATTTTTCAAAGTAGAAACAATACATTTATCAATAAAGCTGTTTGCGTTTAACTTTTTTGCCTTGGGTAACGAGTTACAGAGTCGGTTAAAGTGTTTTAATAATTATGATCTTCAAACATCCCCCACACTTAAATACTTTTGTTTTCCTTTACTGCCATCTGGCATATGTCTCTAACTAAATCATAAAAATAATATTTTTACTATAATTATCCCAATTTAGGATAAAACGCGACTTAGACGCCATATTATTATGTTTTGTATTTCTGTGAATTAGAAATCAAACAACGTTTCAGTTTGTACTAAATTAGGCTGCGTATCCAACGTCGTTTCGACCCAAAAATTATTCTCCAAACTAGTGCAGACTAGGGTTGGCACGAGTTGTGCCGACGTTGCGCCCCGACGTTTGGTCGCGTGACACAACGTTGTTCCGACGTTCAAATGCTGCTTGGGTTATTTCTGTAATAATTATAATGACTTGGCAATTGCACGAGATGATATCCTCTATTACAAAGAGGTCTTATTAGGAGTCTTGATCATCTGCTGATGATGCTAACATAGTTGTTTTGGTGTATTGTGATGATTTAGTGTTTTATTTTGCTGTGTTAACACCAAAGGTTCCAACCCTCAACTTGAGTTTTGATCATCTGCTGATGATGCTAACATGGTTAGCGAAACGCGCGTCCAGTGTAAAAGTAATAGTATTTTGGTGTATTGTAGTGATTTAGTGTTTTATTTTGCTGTGTAACACCAAAGGTTCCAACCTCCAACAGTCTTGATTATCTGCTGATGATGCTAAAATGGTTAGCGAAACGCGCGTCCAGTGTAAATAAAGTAAAAATATTTTGGTGTATTATGGTGATTTAGTGTTTTATTTTACTGATATCCTCTGCTAATCAAAAAAATATTCTTAAGGGCACTGTTTAGATTTACTTAGTAATCAAAATGGTAAATACATAATTATTTTTTAATTATGGTGCTGTTCAATTGCCAAGTCATTAGAATTTATGAGAAATAAAGATGTCTAAAATTGATACTAACAATTTGTAACAAAATTGGTGAATAGGTACTTAAAGAGAAACTAAATAAAATAAACTAACTTCGTTTTACATGTAGAAAGTAAATCACAATATTTGATAAAACTTATAAGTATACCATTTTTATAGTTAATAAATAATAAAACTATTTCTGACTATAATATTTAAAATTTAGATAGATAGAATATTAAAAAACATACCGGTATTTGCAGACGCAGGCCCAAATTCAATAAAAACCAAAATTTTTCCTGCGAAAATCGGGCTTTTTCACAGAAAAGGTATTTTTGATTTATCAACAATCATTGTCAAGTTGACAATATACAGGGTGTTTTCTAATTAGTCTAAAAAATTGTGGTGTGATTCCTCATGTGTTCTTAAAACAATTTTTATATAACCATTAGGTCTAAAGTACTTTTTTTTCTGATCTACAGGGTGTTAAAAATAAAAAAAAAATGAATTTTTGCCGAGATCTACCGCACGCTACACAACCAACTATTTTAGAGTCTTTTTCGATAAATCGCGATAGTGTCACTGT